AAGCTACCATACCCCCCCCAATATATATATATATATATATATATATATATAGTGAGATAAGGACACATTTGCAAAATTAAGCCCTAGGGCAGTGATGGCGAACCTATGACACGCGTGTCAGAGGTGACACACGAACTCATTTTTTTGGTTGATTTTTCTTTGTTAAATGGCATTTAAATATATAAAATAAATATCAAAAATATAAGTCTTTGTTTTACTATGGTTGCAAATATCAAAAAATTTCTATATGTGACACGGCACCAGAATTAAGTTAGGGTTTTTCAAAATGCTGACACGCCGAGCTCAAAAGGTTTGCCATCACTGGCCTAGGGTATCAAATAATCAAAATTTATTTAATATTGTTATATGCACATTTATAAAATTCTGCGGAAACTAGTCAGAGACAAGTTTAACATTTTTCACTTATTCCATTTACCTGTGTACATTATAGAGGACAGTGGATACCGCAAGCCAAGTGCATCTTCTGTAAAGGAATCAACGAAGTCCTCCAGCATATGAAGCCCAAAATCTTTGCCTCGATAGTTCTTTCTTATAAACATTGTATCAAGAACTGGCAGTTGGTAGCTTTGGGTAAGAAATGAGGCACATATGCTTCCTGCAATCATAAAACAGAAAGCCAACAATTTTTCACACTGAAAGACTTATATGTATATACTTTTAGAAAACATGAGTTAACAGTCTTTCTAAAAATGGTTTTTCAGTGGATATAAACGGAGTGCTATCCCAAAAAGTTCCCTCCAACCCTTTTACGGCCAATCCATCCCTCCCGGGTCTCTGTTTGATTTCTGCCACTACAAATTTGCTTTTACTTTTCTAGAATAACATAAATGGAATCATACAGTATGTTTTCTTCGTGTCTGGTTTCTTTCTCCCAACACAATGATTTTGAAATCGAGTACATGCTATATCTATCAGTACTTAATAGTATGCATGATATGGCTTAACTGAAATCCATTTATTTACTATTTTTAAAATTTATTTTTGTTGTTGAGGTTATTACAGATGCCCCCCATTTCCTCTCCCTTTGCCCACCTTGGCCTGGCTCCTGCCATTTGGGTTGTTTACAATTGGGGGGGCTATAAATAAAGCTGCTTTGATAATCTCTTTTTAAAAACTTTTAAAGGGGGTGCTATAATAACACTAACAAAAAGTAACCTCACAGGGTGATCTGATCAAAAATTCCAAACTGGGCAGGTCATGGTGGGTAGTCACACCCCAGGCACATAACTTCTCTAGTGAGAGGTCTATCTTTGCCTTAAGCAAGCTCTGTCCATCGTTTTTGCGCATCTATATTAACATACTTTTGAAATGCTCATTTTCAGAACCCTTAGAAGCCTCGCTACCCTCTAAAGAACACATAGTCTTAACTAGCCTATAGCTCAATCCCCAACTTGTTTTTCATGTAATCTTCCTTACATTCCCTCCTAAATCCAAATGCATGAAAGAAGCTGAAAACTATCATTCTGGGAAGCATTATTTTTTGTTGAGATCTTGCTTCCCAGCACTGTCATCAGTTTGGAAAATAATGTAATAATTAGTAAATTATAATACAAGAATAAACTGTTTCATGTACTCACAACTGTAAGCCTATTTTGTCTCCACCTGTACATATTCATTTCAAAAAACCATGCTGATTCTCTTCCTTGCCTACACCTTAAATAGTTATACTTTGTATAAGGGTTATACAAAGGCAATCAAATAAAGGGCAGAAAAACTTCACGTTACCAGAGATCGTCAGACACGTCAATAGCTGTAGACAATAGCACAATTACCTAGTACAGCAAAACCACAACTGCTACCTTAGGTGAAGTCTTCATTACATTAAATTTATTGCACATGGTAATTAAATATTTATATTCCTCTAAGTTTCCTCTTTGACCACATTCTCTTTCTATATGCTCTCTCTGGGTAATTTCACCTACTCCCAGGGCTTCTACCATTTATCCAAATACTGCTGTCCACTAACCTTTAATTTCTGTAATTCCTGAGATTTACTCCAATGGAAGACCTCATGTAAATGTACCAGTAAATAGTACAAAAACCACATGATCATTTCAATAAGTGGAGAAAAAGTATTTGATAAAATCCAATGCCTTTCATGATAAAAATACTCAACATCCTCAACCTGATAAAGAGATTTATGAAAAAACCACAGCTAACAACACACTTAATGGTGAAAAACTGGATGTTTCCCCTATAAGATTAGGAACAAGACAAAAATGTTCACTCTCACCACTTCTATTCAACATTGTACTAGAGGTTGGGTAATTAGTCAAGAAAATAAAATAGAAGGCACTAGGCTGGAAAGAAAAAAGTAAAATTATTTTTGCAGATGCCACAACCTTATATATAGAAAACCTTAAGTAATCCACTAAAAATTCATTAAAACCGACATATAAGTTTAGTAAGGTTGCAGGATCAACATAGAAAAATCAACTGTATTTCTATATACCAACAATGAACATTCTGAAAATGAAATTAAGATAACAGTTCCTGCCCACTGGTGTAGCTTAGTGGTTGAGTATTCACCCATGACCAGGAAGTAACAGTTACTCCAGGTCAGGGCACATGCCATGGTTTAGGGCTTGATCTCCAGTGGGGAGCATGCAGGAGGCAGCCGATCAATGATTCGCTCTCATCATTGATGTTTCTATCCCTCTCTCCCCTCTCTCTGACATCAATAAAAACATTTTTTTTAAAAAAAAAGATAATTCCATTTACAATAGCATCAACAATAAAATTCTTACGAGTACATTTAACAAAAGAAGTACAAAACTTGTAAACTTACAAGTATAGACATTGTTAAAAGAAATTAATGAGCACCTAAATAAATGGCAAAAACATCTCATGTTCATGAATCAGAACACATAACACTGTTAAGATGTCAATACTCCCCAAATTGACGTACAGACTCAAAATCCCAGCTGGATTTTTTTCCTGAAACTGAGAAGGTGATCCTAAAATTGATATGGAAATGCAAAGTACTACCACAGGAACTCAGGTTCCTTCTATCTGTGGCTTCCCCATCCCCTAGGTCAGTGATGGCAAACCTTTTGAGCTCGGCGTGTCAGCATTCTGAAAAACCCTAACTTAACTCTGGTGCCGTGTCACATATGAAAATTTTTTGATATTTGCAACCATAGTAAAACAAAGACTTATATTTTTGATATTTATTTTATATATTTAAATGCCATTTAACAAAGAAAAATCAACCAAAAAAATGAGTTCACGTGTCACCTCTGACACGCATGTCATAGGTTCGCCATCACTGCCCTAGGTCCTCAGAATCCTTTACATTCAGCAGACAAATTATGAAAAGGAATGCATCTTAACCACTTTGACCTGATGTCATACATATCATTTCTTTAATTACTTTGGGGAGAACTAAACACACAGCCCCACCCAACTGTGCAAGTGACTAGAAAATATAATCTCTGACTGGGCAGCTGCTGACCAATGACTAGAATATAGAAGAGGAAGCACAACTATTTGGTTAGCTAGCAGCCTCAGCTAACTTTCCTCTTCTTTTTTATCTCCCAACAGATGAACACTTCCTTTTGAACTTAGTATATGTGCTGCAGAAGTGAACACACCTTTTTAACTTTTAGGAAATCAATGATCACATCTGAGCAGGTAGTCCCTTTTGCTGGCAGACTCCCTCCACAGTTACGTTTGTTTGGTTACCTCAGGCTGACTTCAGTAACTTACGTATATCCCCATGCCAATATTCACAAACACACATACTCACTTGATACGGTTTTGACAGATCTCATCCTTATTTAAAAATGTGTTGACTTCTGTGGCCCACATAAACATCCACACCTCCCCCATGTGATCCGACTTACATTTCTTTTTTTTTTTTATGTGTTCCACAGGCACAATGAAGTTCACATGTCAAACTGAACTCAAGTATTACCAAGTCCACTCTCAAGTATTACCAAGTCCACTCTTCGGTATTCCCAATCTTAGTTCACAGTTGCCCACCTAAGCATCCAAGCCAAAACCCTCAAGATTCATCACTGGTTACTCTTCTAACCCTTCCCACACAGGCAATGAAGTCACCACACAAAAAGCTCCCTCAAATCGGTTTCCTTCTCTATCACTACTGCCACTTCCCTAACTAGAAGTACTTCTTTCAGCTGGAGTACTAAGCAGCTCTTTTAATTGACTTCAGAATACAATACATATATGCCAAAGATCACACAACAAACTAGTGTATAAAACTATTTTTTAATAATCTGACATCTATCTAATCCAAAAAATAAATAAGTTTCTCACAGCGATCTCTTACTTCAAGCAAAAAAGAATTTATATAGTTTCTTAAATTTCACTGTACTGTAATAAGATTTAACTTCATAAACAAAGCCTCCTTTTTTATTCCAAGGCTATTTTTATATCCCAACTATTATCCCCATACACTGATTTGCTATTTAATTAAAAAATCGTAAGTAATAGCATAAGGCTTTCACTCAACTAGAACTGTATTTAATAAAGATTTTATCATTTTGCTGGTACAGTTCTTTTTCCTGATATGTATGTAGAAAATATTTCTATCACAAAGTGTTTTAGTATATGTTATGGGACGGTTTTCCAAAATATTTTATGTTTGGGTTTTCTTTGTATATAAAAAAAATAGTTCTAGACTAAATTAACTGGTTACTGATTCAAAGGCTAGTATAGTATAAGCACAACTAATTCCATTATTATCTGGTAGAGGAGAGCCAGAGTATAAAGCAAGAAAGAACAAAAATTAATAGTTAGGGTGTAAGGCAATTAGCAGAGAAGCATCAGAGGATCATGGGTTCAATTCCCAGTCAAGGGCATGTACCTGGGCTCCAGGTTCTACCTCCTCGGTCTCTCTCTCTTTGTCTCCCCTCTTCCTTCCACTCTCTCTAAAATTCAATGGAGCTCGGCCGGAGTGGCTCAATGGTTGAGCGTCACTCTATGAACCAAGAGGTCAGGTTTGATTTCCAGTCAGGGCACATATCCGGGTTGTGGGCTTGATCCCCACGGTGGGGCATGCAGGAAGCAGCTAATCAATGGTTCTCTCTCTCTCTCATCACTGATGTTTCTCTCTCTCTCCTTTTCCTTTCCTCAATAAAAATAAAATTAAAATAAAATTAAAGTCAATGGAAAAATAATCTTTGGATGAGGAATAACAAAAAAAAAACAACTTAACTACCAGAACAAGCAAAAATAAAGGCCAGGTCTCAGAGGAGAGGAGGAGCCCCAGATGCACATAAAATGAAGAGGAACACACTCCTGGAATCAAATACTATCAGAAACACTAAAGGGGAATGCTATGCCCGTTAACTGTGTGTCTTTCATCTAAAGCAAACTCTAAACAAAAAAAGTATAAAGTAATATGTGATCAAAATATCTATGAGCTCATTTCAGATAGGAAAATCCCCTGGAGCCAGTGTGAAAAGGAAAAAGCCTCCAATTCCCATAGGAATTATCACATATAAAATAAAGCACAAAAAAATGAAAGCACACCTCAGCCATTTTAAAACATTTTAAAAACAACATGATGCCTTTTATGCAATGCAGCAGTAAGCTTCCATTTAATAGACATTATTCTGCCCCTATATAATGATATCTTTCTGGAGTTAAATGAATCATTGATTCTATTTCAAATGTATACAAGAAGAAAATAGAATATTAAAGGAGAACCAAAGTATTTACTAAACAACAAAACCATTTTAAACTCTAGATCATAATATTTTATTCTTGAGAAAAAGTGACCTTCCTTTTATTGATGGTATGCATAATCTCATGATAAATATGTATTAACTATGTGATTAAGATATTGGTCATAACTGTTCTTCAAATCAGCAGTGAATTTGATATGATCATTACACTGGATCTGACCAGATGAGCTAAGTCTGGAAGGTTTGAAATGCAAAAATGACAGAAAAATAATATGAGCGTTCTCAGTGAAAGGTCTTTTGGTTAAAGTACAGAACAAGACCAACTTTATTATTTGGTTATTTATTTACATGGAGTAAGCAGGTTAGATCTTTCTGGCTCCAGTACAACTAGAGAGCAAATGAACAGGAAAACAGGTAAAACAAGATGAAGTTGCTCTAGTCGCTTAGGAGGAGGGTATATTTGGGTCTTAGGATCAGAAATCCAAACTTTAGAAGATTTCACAATTTCAAAGCTATTTGGATTCTCTAAATACTATATACTGAAGTACTTTGTTTTTCATGGTAATTAACAAAGCTGCCTTTAATATGTCAGGCTAAATCAGCAGCACTGAGCAGAAAAAGGCTATGCATTTGATCCACAGGTAAAGAAGAATTAAATATTCCCCCCAAAATACTAAGTAAAATCACCTCAATTTGCACTCGAGATTCATTTAAAAGGGATGTTGATACAGTTGGGGTTTGAAAAGGAGGTTTCCATTATACACAGTTTAAATAACTTTTAAAGACTCACCTGTAGGCTTAACTGAATAAAACCCAATGGCCTCTCCTTTCTTCCACAGAATCTTAGCATAATCAGTACTGCTATGACACAGGAATGGGATCTCATTTCTCTCCATTTCCTGTTTTCTATAAATAATTCGATTCAGAACATACAGAACCACTCTCTCCCCAAGAGTTCTCACCTACAAAGAGAGTCAAACACCAGGCACAACAGTTATAATATGCATCAACTCAGAGATGCTGTTTACCTTGCTCCCTGCTTTGTACCGGCATTCGAAGCACTTTGAATGCGTTCAAAACGATCTGTAAAACATTTTATTATCACAAAGGCAAGGCTAATCATTCATACCAATAACAATCCATTTCTACACACACATTATGCATGAATACTGCCTCTCAGCAGAATTCTGAAACTGGCAGAATGAGTTTCCAGTGCACCAATCCCCAGCATCTCCTAGTTAGCAGTGTTTTCTTTCTTCTTCCAGCTGCCCATACCAGGGGTCTCAGCCACTCTAATTGCTGCCTCCACCACTTCTACTGCTTCAACCCTTTTCACCCCATTTCAGCTTCCACATTAAAAAATAATAATAATGGGGGGGGGCTTCATGTTATCCCCTGAAGATTTTAAGACCAATTACCTCATTTGATGAGCAAAGACATAATAATGCTCCTGGGAAAGGAATTTGTCTCACCCTTTCCAGGTAAAATGTTCATTTAACAGTTGTGTTTTTGTTGTCTAACTATAAGGAATACCCCCTGCCCCTTCGGCCACACACACACATATACAGACCAGATGAGGGATGATCGTGGCACCAGAGAAGTCTAGTGTAAACATACTGGGGTAACCACAGAATGGAAACTGAGCTTCACTTCTTATAGGAAGGGCTACATGGTCACCAGGACCCCCCTTACCAACTTTCTGGCATTTGTGGGGTTTTCCCAACAGACACCTTTCACTGCTAAAAATAAGAATTCTATCCATAAAGACTCCTTAAAGAAAAACAAGAGTGCCTTCTAATTAAATAAGTGGAGAGAGAAAACATTAACATACACTCTACTCTCAAAAACATCCCTAGTGGGAGATCTCCAATACCAAACACATGACATGACAAAGCTTGTTAGCTTGCAAAGTAGGGAACCTTTTTTTCGGCCACAGGCCATTTGGATATTTGTAACATCATTTGAGGGCCATACAAAATTATCAACTTAAAAATCAGCCTGCTATATTTGGTCAAACATTTAATTAACTCACTCCCAATGCCTTGGCAGGGCCAGACCACATGATTTCACAGGCCTTTAAGGGAATCTTTTACTCCCTTGAACAGCTCTGATCAGCATAAAATTCTTCCTTAGACTGAGCTACAATTTATTTCCCAAAGGTATTCTGGAGCCACACAGCCTACAAATATCTGAAGACAACCGTAAGATTCCCCTACATTCCATACCAACTCTAAACAATTGAAGGAAAAGACTAATGCAACTTGGGGTGCTTTTGCCATTCCTGTCCTCCTCCTTGAAATTGCTCTAATCACCTAATATCTGTCTTCATGATGGGCATGCAGATACTACAGATATAAACATTAAAGATATTGCTAGGACAGTGGGGCTTTTCTGCATAAACTTAAGGTTTTTAAATTAGCTTTTTTGCCTACCTTCATTTGCTTCTAATTAACACCCACTCTTTTTCCTATGTGCTGCTGTTTCAGTTTGGTCCTCATGGTACACATGGTGCAGTTAATTTTTTGAACCTATGGGTACTACTCTACATTTATCCCTATTTATTTTCATCATGTTAAATCCTTCCTTTTTTTCTTAATTCTGCCTTTCACAGATTGGTTCTCCCATTCGCACTGTGGCATGCAGAATGGACATGCATGCCATCTATGTCTTCCTCTAAGTATTTTATGAAACTTAGTGATTAGGACAGAAAAAAAAAAAACAACAAAAACGAAGTTTTGCAGTATGCTGCTGAGAACCTCCCAAAATGGCCCTATTGATAAGCAAGTTTCCTTCCTGGTCAGTGTCTCCTAGAGACAGAGAACCTAAGCAACCTCACAGAGAGAAGAACTAGCTTTATCTCTACCTAACAAGGAAATCAGAAGCTGAAGTTGATATGGGTCACTACAGTTCAACTAACCCATAAGCATTCAATCTTCCTCACCCAATTCTCACATACCTTTAGCACAATGAAACTCTAAGGGTTTAATAAAACCTGGTTACAATAAAATGGAGAAGAGCTCAATCACTTCAAAAACTATCACTGTTTATAGGAAACATAACTGTGAAATGGCCTAAGAAAGAAACTTTTAAAATAACAAGATCGTATTACCTGCTTAAGCCCCTCTCTAGAAGGGACAGATGTTTTTACGATATCATCAACAGCCCACCACTGATCAGCCAGGTAAAGTGCCACAGCTAAAATAGAATAAATGATTAACATTTAAGTCTTAAGTCTTACAGTGTATAACATTACTATTTGGTAAGGTTATATAGATACCCTTAAGCATACCCATACTTTTATAATACAATGTGGCCCCATTTACACTATTTTTATTTCACTCATTAAACATTTAATAGTAAGCAATTAAGAATTATATTTTCCTAAATTTAAGTTTGAAACACGTTTTCTTTCTTTTTTTCAATTCCTTCATGTTACCTTTTAATAAATTTCTAATTGTTTGGAGAAAAACTCCTCAATTTTAAAGATTAAGCAAAAAAGAGACCTGTGAGTGAGTCCTCAGGTGAAAAAAGAGCAAGAATTTTCTGGGTCTGATCTCCACCATAAAGAGGTACAAAGCCTACATTTGACAGGCTAATAGGAATCTGAAATGACAATTGATTAAAAATTAGTGAAGAGTCTGTGAAGAAAATATCGCACAAAAACACCATGATTCTACCAAAATATTAACTCTTTCTACATTAATGCTAATTATATACCTTCATTTCATATACAATATTTCTAGTCTCAAAAAAAAAAAAGTAGCCCTAGCTGGTTTGGCTCAGTGGATAGAGCATCAGCCTACAGACTGAAGGGTCCCAGGTTCGAATCCAGTCAAGGGCACATGACTAGGTTATGAGCCCGATCCCCAGTAGGGGGCGAGCAGGAGGCAGCCAATCAATGATTCTCTCTCATTGATATTTCTATCTCTCTCTCCTTCTCCCTTCCTCCCTGAAACAATAAAAATATATATTTTTTAAAAAGTAAATCAGAATTCCCTTTTGTGGGAAGTTTATTAACTTGCGGGGGGGGAGGAGAAAGTTTATTTCAATAAATATCACTGTGTTCTAGCCAAAAATCTAAATAAAAACAAAAGAAAGATATGGTCCATAAAGTCACTAAAAAACAACTATAGTTTACATCTGTTATTTAGACTATTGGAGGGGACAGGATTCTATTTTCTAGTAAAAGACACCAGATAGGTAATTTTTTTAGAGAGACATACAATACTTTAAATTTTTTCTGCCTTCATTAATCCAATGCTAATTCCTCATTTACAGAAAATATTACAATTCAGAGAATTATAAAATACTGGTACTAGAGGAGACTTAAAGAATCCTTTAAATCAACAATTTTCCAGAAGAAAAATCTGAGGCCTAGATGTTAGAGAATTTGCCTACCATCAAGTTCACAGTGGAATTCTAACAACATATCACAGCTTACCAATTTGAAAGTTTTATTTTAATATTTTAGAAAAGGGGAGGTTTGTGACACAAAAAATGTATAATTTAGTGGTTTGCTGATATTTTTATTTTAAAAAATTCTTGTATCACAAACTCTAAATCTAAAGAAAATTAAAGTTAGCTCAAATATGGAAACCAGTCTTAGAAAAACTGATAAACTACTTAATTTTAAAGGCACAACACAAATATTAAGCAATAACCTGTAGAGTTTCTTTTTAAAACCTGATCATATTACTGTACTAACCAATCAATATTTATGCATTTTACTGATGTCTTCTCATACAAATTTTGAAAGTTTAGTTAACACTTTAAAATGATAAAAAATAAAAGGATATTAATTCCATGTATGAACTCAACTGAAAAGACTCATAAAAAGCACTGCAGAACACCTTACCGTTATATTGAGAAGAGAAAAACACTCAGGATTTTCAGGGTCCCCACACCTTAGATCTGACATATAATCTTCAGCAGAATTTTCCAGTTCCTCGTGACTGCAATTATCCAGCATATCCACAGGGAATGCCATCCTCTTCAACAAACAACATGGGACAAAAATGTTTCAGAATATGAAATGCTAGCTTCCCTTTTTCATAGAAAAACTTCATATTGTAATATTTTATTATAAAGAGTTCTTCACTACCATGTCAGACTACAACTTGGCCTGCTGATTTAACAATGTACATCAAAAGAAAACTTTTAAACATTATTCATCTGAATTAAAAATTAAAAATAAAATAGGAATTAATAGTAATTCTTTAAATGATATAAATGTATTTATACGGGTATAGGATATACATATTTGCATATACGTACACCCACAGAAATATATCCTCATACACCTGCCAACATTATAAGTCACTATAAAAGGACAAAAGGGAACTTTTTGGAATAGAAATGTTCTATAACTGCATCGTAGTGATGGTTGCTCCACTATATAAATTTACTAAAAAAAAAAAAATTAATCACTGAATTATACAATAGCAATGGGTAAATGTTGCAATACGTAAATTCTACCTCTCATACATAGAGCTGTTAAAAAAAAAAAAAGCCAGCACCTTATTGAGGAAACACTAAACACTTTCCCACTAAAGTCAGGAAAAATGACTCCACACTGTATAACATTATATAGGTACTTGCCAATGCAATTAGCCTAGAGACATAACAACTGGGTATGGGTGTATGTGGAAGGAACTACCTCTACGTCAATTTGCAAATAATATATTTAATTGAAAAACCCAAAAGAATCAATGGAAAAACTATTCCAAACAATAAGAAAATATACTAAAACAGGATATAGTTACACACAGAAATTAAGCCCTCATATATACAATAATAACCAGTGAAAAGAAATCAGGAATGGAAAAAATGAAGTAAAAATAGGTAAAAGACCCCATTTACAGTGGATAGAGCATCAGCCTGGGGACCAAAGGGTCCAAGGTTCAATTCTGGTCAAGGGCATGTACCTCGTTTGCAGGCTCCTCCCCGGCCGGGCCCTGGTCAGGGCTCACACAGGAGGCAACCAATCTATGTGTTTCTCTCACATCAATGTTTCTCTGTCTTTCCCTCTCTCTTCCACTCTCTAAAAATCAATGGAAAAATGTCCTTGGGTGAGGATTAAAAAAAAAAAGTAAGCTAAGCAGAAATATGCATCTTAATGAGGTACAAAAAGAAAAATCAAACCCAAATCTAATGAAGCCATCAATCATGTGAAATCACATCTTAAGTATACAGCCAGTCAAATTTAGAATAACCCAGTTTCTTCAATACGTATACAGCATGGAGTTTAAAGAGTGGGAACTATTGTAAATTAAAAGACACTTAAGAGACATAGCAATCAGATGCATTGTAGAGAGGATTCTGATTTGTGTACTCTTGAAAATTTCCATGATAAAAAGTTAAATAAAAAATAAACATATGCTCTATATCAAAGTCTGAGCTATTTAGTTCTTAAAGGAGATATAAAGTAAAATAGGTTAACTTGTTATAAAAATTCCCTATTTCATATTTACCCAAAATAAAAATAGCAGAGCCCAACTGCTGAATTTGTCAATAATCTCTGCAATCTTGATTTAAAAAATAATAAAGGGAAAAGGCAGAAGAAAACTGAGAAAATAGAAATTACTTTTCTCTGAAGTAATTCTTCAGAGAAGCATTTTATCACATCAAATCTTTTTTATCACAACAAATACATTAGTAGGTAAAAAAGCTGAAAATCTAATGAAAATATGAGGTAAACATGTAAAAGACAGGACATATAACAGCTACATATAGTTAAATATATATTTTTAAAAATTTATTTTTTAAATCTTCAAACAAGGATATATTTTTACTGATTAATTTTAGAGGGGGGGGGAACATCGATGTGTGAGACAAACATTGATCAGTTGCTTCCTGTACATGCCCCAAGGATCGAATCCACAACTTTATGGTATACAGGACAATGCTCCAAACAACTGAACTACCTGGCTAGGGTTAAATATATTTTTCTGAATTTTCAAGATATGATGATAATGAGAAACTTATTTTTTACCATAATCTGAAATCCTGGTCCTAAAGACTTTAAAACGTGGTGTATATGATTGGGAAACTAATTTTATACAAATATATATTTTAATCAAATTGATTTTTAAATTTTTTAAAATAAAAACCTGGAAATAGAACACACAAAACAGCCCATCTATTAGTAAATATAAATGTCTAAATAAAAGGAGAAAGTAAGAAAAATTTGTGAAACATTTATAAAAGCAATACCACAGGATTTCCAGGCAACTTATAAAAAGAAAAAGAAAAAAAACAGCAACTATGAATTTCAAGAGAGATCAACCAAGAGCTTATGTAAATCAGATGTTATAGTTAGAAAAGTATCAAAATAAAACAGCAGAGCTCTATTATGAAGCTTATTTGTTATTTTGGGCAAATTTTTATATCTCTATCGAAGTCAATATTCAAAAGCAAACTAAGGAAATAGAACATTATGTTCTAGTCAGATCCAACAATTCCAATGAAGATTAAAATTTTAGATGAAACCAAAAACAAATGGTCAACAGCAGATGAAAAAAGCATAATTAGGACACTAGTTAACTGTTTTCCTCTCTTATAGACAACAAGATCCCAGCTTTGTGTCTAAGTAAAAATTAAGAGCATTAAATATACCCTACTATTGACTAGATGAAGCTCAAGAAGGATTAATATCACGGTATTGTCCTTAAACCAACTCGAAAGACTCTCTTGAATATTAGCTACCAAAACAAGGTAGGAATGAAACACATTCAAACATTTCATTTGCTAAGAGTAATCATGACCTACAGCAGGGGTGGGGAACCTTTTTTCTGCCAAGGGCCATTTGGATATTTATAACGTCATACCTGGATCATACAAAATTATCAACTTAAAAATTAGCCTGCTATATTTGGTCAAACATTTAATTAACTCACCCCTAATGCCTTGGCAGGGCCAAACCAAATGATTTCAAGGGCCATATACCCCTGCCCTGAAGGATGAAATATAAATTAACATATGAGGGCTGCTGCCAAAAATTTGGTAAGCATTGTTGATTACAATCACATAAAGGTAATACGGCATTCTAGACAAAGAATACAAAATGGACATTTAAGGAAAAGGAGCCTGATAGAATAGCAAATTGATGGGTCATTTTCTTTTTCACCTACTGTTTCCACAACATGGTCCTTAAAAGATTTTAAATACTATCATGTTTAAATAGCATTTTCTTTTTTTTTTAGTCTTATTTATTTTTTAGTTTTAGTTTTATTCATATTGAATAAAGAGCCTAGGAGGATAGCCCAGAATAAGAGAATGGTTGTGAACAGTCAGGGGTGTCATGATTCCTCATCTAACATGCTTTAACTATGTCTGATCCATCCTGCTAGTTTGTGGCATGCGAGACTGAAACACAGGCCAGGTGTCCCTAAGCCATTGATCCTTCCTCTATCCTAGTGTTGGCTGAACTTCAATTATCTGCATACCACCATCAAAATGGTTCCAGTGTGTCAAGTGTCTATATCACTACTTAATATGTATGTTCCTCAATTCACTTTTTTAAATGCACACCTCTCATCCCATCCCCCCCCTTTTAATTTGGTAAAATCCTATATAATAAAAAGCTAATATGCAAATCGACCGAATGGCAGAATGACCAGTCACCTATGACGTGCACTGACCACCAGGGGGCAGATGCTCAACACAGGAGCTGCCTCTGGTGGTCAGTGCTCCCACAGGGTGAGCACCGCTCAGCCAGAAGCTGAGCTCACAGCTGGCGAGCACAGCGGCGGTGGCGGGAGCCTCTCCCGCCTCCGTGGCAGTGCTAAGGATGTCCGACTGACTGCGAGAGGGTGCAGGCCAGGCGGAGGGACCCCCCCCCCCGAGTGCACAAATTTTGTGCACCAGACCTCTAGTATACACATAACATTTACCATTTTAACCCTTTCTAGGTTTACAGTTCAGTGGCAGTAAGAATATTCACACTGTTGTACAACCTTCACCACTCTCCCTTTCCAGAACTATGTACCCATTAAATAATTCCCCATTCCTATTCCCCCTAGTCCCTGATAACCACCATTCTTTCTGTATCCATGAATTTGCCTATTCTAGGAATCTCATAAGTGTTATCACAATAATTGTCTTTTTTACTAGTATATCTGCCTTATTTCACTTATTTCAAGCTTCATCCATGTTGTAGCCTATATCAGAATCTCAACTCACTTTAAAAAAATTTTCATTCACTTTAAACTATAAAACCTACAAAACCACCAATTTGATATATTAGATTATTCATTTTCCTAATCAGCCTTATGATTTATAAGTATCATAATTTAAATGTTCACCTGAATACAACTTAAAGCCCTCCCCTAAATCACCAGCAGTGTGTCAGCACACTTTAGAAAACATCACTATCTACGCGATTGCTTACCATAAGACTAAAGGCAAATACAGTATGACTAAATTAATTAAAGTGTAAAACAAAAATTCATTATCTTTCATTCTTAAACATTCTTATACTGAGACTTTTGAATAGAAAAATAATCACTTCTAGGTTTATTTAGTCAAAGATTATTCTTACATATAAGATTATTCCTATATATATATACATATATATAAACAAAATGAAACCATATCCTGTGTTCCTGAAGTCCAACAATTTAAATATTCTGAAATTTGCATAAAGAACATTATGGGGGGGGGGGACTTTACTTAGTTAGAAGTTGTTATTTCTGAATACACTTTGACAACTGCTCGGCTGGGTGGCTCAGTTGGTTGGAGCATCCTCCAGTACACCAAGTTTGTTTCCTGGTCAGAGCCCATGCCTAGGTTTCAGATTTGATCCCTGGTTAGGGTGCATATGGGAGGAAACTGATATCTCTCCCTCTCCTTTTCTCTCTCTTTCTCTCTCTCCCTTACTCCAAAATCAATAAACATATCATCAGGTGAGGATCAAAAAATAAGTAAATAAGGACCTTTTTACCTTTAAATATTAGTAATTGTTTATTTTTTAAAATATTGGTTAAAAGCA